TAATGGTTGCTTGTGGAGGGAAATTTGTGGATTTTATCTTGTATGTGATTGTTGGTATGAAAAGAGGATAATTATGAACCGAGGTTACTCGTAAGTATGCGGTTAACTGTGGAATACTTGAAGGGGGGTAGAGGTTACTTGTAAGTATGCTACCTACCAAAAGAGGATATTTATAAACCGAGGTTACTTGTAAGTATGCGGTTATGTGTGGGAGACTTCAAGGGGGGTAGAGGTTACTTGTAAGTATGCTACCTACCAAAAAAAGGACATCTAACGACCGTGGTTACTTGTAAGTATGCGGTTATGGGAAACAAAGACTTGAAGGGGGTGGAGTTTACTTTTAAGTATGCCACCTGCCAAAGGAAATATAATAATCGATGGTGGAATAAGCGTTCTTTTTTGTATTATGGTGTTACTATTGCATTTCCCACAAGAGCTTGTGGAGGTATGAGACTCTACAAGAACTTGTTGGAAATGGTTATGGTTGCTCATTGTGACTTGGGTTTACTGTTCATTTAAATTATTGCGAATGTTTAAACTTGAGATCTGTTTCAAATGTCACGGTTTTACTTCAAATGTTATATGATATTTTGGAAAATAAGACCGAACTGTTTTACTTGTTTTCTAAACCTTGTATGAGTATGGAAGGAATGTTGCTACAGAGCTTAGTGCTCATCCCCTACAAATAATATCTTTTCAGATTTCGTCTATGAGGAGGAGTTACAAGTAGATGAACCAGTCCATGGGGAAGCTCCCCTAGAGGGGAACGGGGGTCCTGAACTGGATGCCTAGAGTTATATTTCTTTTGTACTAGACTAGAGAGTTTATTTTGAAATCATGTAAAGTCTAGTATTTTGTTATTTCACTGCAAGTGTAATTTAATTCTTTTGGGAATATATTTGTCATACTTGGCCTATTCTTTTGGGATGACATTGTGGATATGACATATGATGAATGAAAGTTTATTTTATGATGGATAAATAGACCCGGTGTGGTCAATAGTTATGCATATGTGGACCCGGTGTGGTCAATTGTAATATAATTGTACAGGTTGTGTTTTGGGTAAAGCTCCCCGTACAAAGGAGACTCTGCCCAAATTTTGTTAAAATATGAATGGTTGATGAATGAACTTTCGTCGTGATGAATTTACGTAATGCTCTCATGGGGTGAATGGTTTTTAGAATGTAATGTCACCCAAGGGGGTTTTTGGGGCGTTACAGTAAATGGTAGCAGGAGAGGTACAGAGTCTGAAGCTTGTATTGAAAGTGAGTTGTCCATTGGGTTGTCTTACACTGTACATAGAAAATTGGAAATTTTTAGAGCCTCTAAGAGAACATTAAAGAGTATGGGAGTGGAGAAGGTGAAAAAAGGGGGAGTTTCTAATTGTTTTCTAATGAAAAGGGGAGGAGAGAGAGAGAGATTGTTGCAACGGCAATAAGATTGCGAACCAGCAGGTTTGGCATAAAGGTGATAATTTGAGTTTAATATGTAATTGATTTTGAAGGATAAGAATGTCATAGCTACGTTTACTTTTTCGCTCAAATTAGGTTTTGTAATTTACTCATTTGGTCCATGAATTTTGATGATTTCCTTAATATCTATAGGTTTTATAATATATTGACTAGGTACATGAGTATTCACATTTTTTCTCTCTCAGTTCTCTTCACCTCCCTACAGTCGCCCTTCGACAATATTTCCCCTCCCTCGTCCGCCCCTACTAACCATCACCGCCCCTATTATCGAGCACACCATCCAAACAACAAACTTAAATAGCAACCCTAACCCACAACACAAAAAAATGAAAAAAATTGCATGGTCCACAAAATTTGTGGTCTCATGCCACCCCGAGTCTGATAATTCAAAATAGTAATGTGTAGGGAGAGTTGGTAGTTTTCATCTGACATGGATTTGAATGCATGGAAAGGGTCAGAATCCCATTGGCTTCAGAGGGTACGAGTGTGTGCAACCCTAGTGTGCATAAGCATTACAATGTGCGAAGGTATAAATAACTGCACAATATTTTCTAAACCCCAATAAAAAAAAAAGTTCACAAACTTGTGTTTGGTTTAAGATATCATCATCCATAACCATTAAACACATTCACAGTAGTTACGAAAGCTGGAAGAACTAGTTGTGTTCAGTTGTAGGCAATTATCCTTGCCAATGTAAGGACTATTGATAATATATAACTTCTACATCTTCTTGTCTCTCATTCTTTCAGCATCTACATTAACAATGCCCTGCTTCTTAGCATACCAAGCCCTGAAAGTTTTTAAACCCACAAGAGTACTTGTAAGAAAGAAAAGAGGAAAAAGAATATACCAGAAGAATTCCAAGTGGAAAATTCCTTGCTTTTTACAAATAATTTCAAAACCACATACAACCACTTAAAGTTCTAAACTAGACCAAATCTAAACGTACAAGAAGTGATGAAATGTCTAGAAATTCTCCAATCTAAAAGCACCACAAGCCTGATGCAGTGACTAGAGTAAATTGCATTAGAGTAGTTGGTTAAAAGACCAAGAATATGACATACCATAAACATATTTTCTATCTCATCCTACGGTGTCCAATAAATATTGACAAACTGGATCCAATTTCCTAAACTGTTTATGTACTACCTACCCAAAAAAATTAAGATCCAGGTATTATCAACATGAGAACTCCACTCAGACAGGTGGTTCGACAATTAATAACGGATCAAAGTACCTCCAACGAGGAGCATGACTATTACCAAATTGTGTAAGTCAATTTAAACGCAAGTCAGGATTGTAGCAAGTTGTGTTCACTGAAGTGAATTGGCATATGTAAAACATGTTCGGTGAGTTCTTTGTTTTTTTTGGAGGGGGAGTGGGGTTATGCTTTTGATTAATTCCAGCATTATTTTCTGATTTATCCCCCTTGAACTTTTCGTTACATTGACAGTGTTAGAGAATGGCTAGAGACAAACAGATGTCTCACTCCGATGTCGCTATGTCGAAGTGGTTTTGTTTGTCACCTGACTCGCCTCTACAGTAGGATTGTAATAAATAATGTAGTTCTTTTATAGAAACACAATTACCAAGATCAAAGTTGTCCTATGCATTCCATGATCCTATCTCTTACAACCCCAAATTGGGCATATTCACAACAAATCATCCAAAAATGTCACCCCAAATTATAACGTTATGTACCCGATATTCATGAATACACAGAATTTAGCAAAAAAAAAAGGGGGGGGAGAGAGAAATTACATAAGCAGTCATAAGTCTGTACATATATCGAAAGGAGCGAATTTTCCTATGCAGTCAAAAGTAGGTACATACAAATCAAAGGGAGAGAATTTTCCTAAGCAGTCATAAGTAGGTACATATTAAAAAGAGAGAATTTCCAAAGCAGTCAAATTAAGTAAGAGTAAATATCAAAAGGAGAGAATTTTCCTAAGCATGTTTGCATTATACTGAAATTATAGTAGTTCAAAAAGAAAACTACAAAGATATTTTCAGCTTTTATCCTCCTCAGCTTCCATATCCAGAATTTGCTTCCTAACTTTCGCCATCCCTTCGTACACGTCTAATAGATCTGTTGACTTGTCCATCAGCACACTTCTTAGTGTGTTTATCTCAGTTTTGAGATTCACTAAAGCTGTTAATGTGCAAGCATCGACTTGCTTTTCAGCTTCCTTAGGTAACACAAGCTCCATAGAATCCTTGTTCCACATTTCGAGTCAGTCGAGTCCCTTCAAAATTCTCTCCTTAGAAGTGCAAGGGTGACAACAATTGCTCGCACATAAAATTTTCTCCTCACTGGGATTTCCACCATGCTCTTCACCACCAAATATCAGTCCTTGGTTTGGCTTGGAGTAAGAGCAACCATTTTACCAACTATATTTTGCCACATACCCAACATGTTTCTGCAAAAGAAAACAATACATTTAACTTCAAAACATAGCAAGTAAACTTTTGGCAAGTAAAAATGATATGCAATGTTTTTTTTCTGGTAATTAACATGATTTCTATTAATGAATCTCCATATTCTATTTAAATGTAGTAGTGTTGTCAGGTCTCCAATCTTACTTCATTTAATCTTTTTTCTCAAGATAAGGACAAGTCTATATTTAAACTAACTGATAACTCCCACTTCTCATGTAACCTCTAGGTTTCCGACTGTTCAACTTTTCACTCATTCATGCCTCTCTCCCCATATTCGCATATCTCCAACCTTTCTGACTATTCATGCTTGGTATATTATATAGCAGGGAAGAGAGACAAACCAGAATGGAACACAATTGTGTGTGACGTGTGTTGCTACGATGTTATAGCAATGTTGCTCCCAACTATTCGTTGAGGGTAAGGTCCGATACATTTATGCACATGATGAATTTAAGGTTAATGGTTGCATGGGGTAGGCTATGTTTGATATGTTGCCCACCCCCCGAGAAAGGGGGAGGTAGTAGGCTGGCGTAGTTTGACTGAGGGGGTGGACTGTTGTGTTTGCAACTAGAGTTGGTGGGGGCTTAGAGCAATATTGATTGTGTTATGGAAAATCTTGAGAAGTTTTGTTATAGCATCAAAAAAGCCAAAAAGCAAAATCCCCTCCTTTTTATTTTTATAGAAAACACCATCTTATTAAAAGTAAAAAAATGAAGAGCAGAGATGTGTAAGTAGTCCATCCCAAATACAAACCATTGAAAGCAGTACATAAAAAGGGAAAAAAACCAAACCAAGAAAACAAGCTAATCAATCACAAGCCGCCTTCCAGTTTGCCAAGATTTCAAAAAATGGAATATTAGCAAATTTTTCAAAGCACAAAAATAGTTGCTAAAAAGTGAATTCGGTTCCAAAGCCCATCAAACTCTTCATACTTATCTTCAAAGATTCTTGAAATTTTCTCCAACCAAATCCCCAAATTATTGCAAAGAAAGCACATCCCCAAAGAGTACTTCCTTTACTTCCCTTTTGAAAACCTTTATAATCCACATCCAACATTGTTGAAATTGTGAGAATCAAGAAAGAAAGACAATGGAGATTACGATTGATCATAAGCATTTTAAAGTCAGATCTGAAGGTTTGCATGGTGAACTGGTTCGCATAACGGAATGGAATCAGTTTGGATATTTCTCATGCTTAGTGAATAGAAGTTGTGTGAGATGGTTGAAGGAGATGTTTTCTGAAGCTTTATCCTGGAATCGACGAGATATTTTCTTTAGAAAGTTTAGGAGGGATGGATATTGTATGTGGATGCAACTGGAAAATAGCAGGTTTGGGGAGTTTGCCAGGATTACACAGATGATGAATAATGGTAGAAGAAAGGGTTTGATTATTCCCCAAGGCTCCCAAGGCATTGGATGGAAAGGGTTTAGAGGATTGATGGAGGATGTTCTTTCGGGTGGAAGGAATACAAGGATACAGGAAAAAGAAAATCAAAGTCTGATGGCAGTATCAAAATCTAGAGTCAGGGAGCAAGGAAATGGGGGATGGGTTGAGATGCATAAGGAAAATACTCCTGCAAATAATAAGGGGGATGAAAATATGCTTAAAGAAGAGGTTAAACTGAGGTGTGTTGTGGTATGTGTCCAAGCAAGTTCGATTGTCTCTTAGGATGTACTCCAGGCATGCTTGGTACAGGCTTTAAAAATGAAGATTGATCTACAGCTTTTCCAAGTAGACAAAGCCATTTTTTTTTCTACGAAGACAGATTACAAGCTGTGAGAATTTATGTAGAGTGGAAAATTTCGCATTGAAGTGTGTGGTGACGTACAGTTTCAACATTAGTGTCATGAAACCAATACAGTTAGAAGTCGTGTACCCTTTTGGGTGGATGGATAGCAGTTGAAGGTCTACCATTTCATCTATGGCAACCTGAAGTCTTAAGAAGATCAGGGATTGTTGTGGGGCTTTTATTGAAGTTGATCGGCAAACAGAAAATCTCAAAAATTTGTTTGAAGCTCTAATTAGAGTTCATAAAACCAGTAATGGTCTTCTCAAAACATTCTTCCGTGTGGATATTAATGGGAAATCTTTTCTAAGGTTAAGGTGTTGAAGAACCCAGGATTGTTCAATCGAAACGAAAAAGGAATACTACAAGGTGAAGGTAGTAAGGAGATTTTGTGTATTGGGCAAAAGGTCAAAGACGAGAGTTATAGCACATTGGAAAATCAATCGGCCAAAAAAGAGTTGCAAACAAAAGGGGGATTATGTGTCAAGAAGAGAAAGGAGGAGGAGGAGGAGGGAGTCTGTGCACCACAAGGCCAGAATAAATGCAAAGATTTGGTTTGATTGAAAAAAATTCTGATGACTTGATTAGTGCCATTAATCTTGCTGATTTCTAACAAAAAATATTTGATAAGGATAATTCAAATAAGGAATGTAATTTGAATTCAAAATTTGAGTTAATTAAGGATAAGGTAGAGGAGATGGATCATGAAAGGTGGGTTTTGTTAAGAAAGGAAGGTGTGGGCTGAGATAAAAGAAACAAATGGGCTGGAAACAAATGTTTTTACCAATGGGCTTGGTAAGGTGGGCCATTTTAATTTAAGAGGGTTTTACAGAATTGTGGAGGCCTGGTCCACAAACCTTTGTTTGTTGGGCAGAACTCGAATGATAGGGCTCTCTCACACGGGCAAAGGGCTATCTTCATAGATGAAACAAAGGCTCTCCTCAAAGTTGAAACTGATGGTTAAGGTTGCTGAAGCTGATCGTCGAGCAAGGGGGGGAGTGGAGCCTCTCATGACAATGGGCAAAGGAAGTAGTGAAAAAGGGACTATAGCTGTAGAGGAGATTTGCGATGGTTGGCAGAGTCAAAGGGAAGATTTTGAGGTCTGTTTCAACAGTATGGATGAGGAGAGGGACATAAATTTGTTTTCAGAAGATAAGGAAGATTGCTGCGAGAACTTCCAAAGATATAAATTAGCTAACAAGGAGGTAAAAAAGATAGTTAAAGACGCTAAGTTAAAAGCCTACGACGAGTTGCACAAAAAACTAGACAGTAAAGAGGGAGAAAAAGACATTTATAAACTAGCTAAAATTAGAGAAAGGAAAACAAGAGACTTTAACCAAGCTAAGTGCATCAAGGGCGAGGACTCGAAGGCTTTAGTTAAAGATGAAGAAATAAATGATCGGTAGAAAGACTATTTTGAGAAACTATTAATGAAAATCACTTAAGAAACTTAGAAGAGATAAAAAATTGAAGGATTCATGAAATGTTCTTTCATAAGATAAAGAATTCGGAGATAGAGTTTGCATTGAAGAAAATACAATTGAGCAAGACTTTAGGACTGGATGAGATTCCAATTGAAGTTTGGAAGTGCTTAGGGAATGAGGGGTCTCGTGGCTAACGAAATTATTCAATAGAATTATTGGCACTAAGAAAATACCAAATGAATGAAGAAAAAGTATTTTAGTAACTATCTATAAAAACAAAGGAGATATTTAAAATTGTAATAATTATAGAGAGATAAAATTGATGAGTCATACAATGAAACTATGGGAAAGGTCCATTGAATGTCCCCTAAGAGTTGAGACTACAGTTTCAGAAAATCAATTTGAGTTTACGCCGAGTAGGTCAACTATGGAAGCTATAGATTTATTGAGAATACTCATAAAAAATATAGAGAAGAAGAAAAATCTCTATATATTATTTATAGATCTAGAAAAGACGTATGATAAAGTGCCTAGAAAGATAATATGTAAGGTGCTTCAGAGAAAATGAGTGACGAATAGGTAAATTGAGATGATAAAGGATACGTATGCCAAGGCTAGGACTATAATTAGGTCTTTTGTTAGAGAAAATAAAGAATTGTCAATCACGGTTGGATTACACTCGGGATCGGCCCCAAGTCCATTACCTATTTGTCCAAATTATGGATAAACTCACTAGGCATATTCAACATGATGTCCCACGGCGTATGTTATTTACAAATGAATATACTAGGGAGATTAACTCACTAGGGAGATTAACAATAAGCTAAAAATTTGGAGAGAGCACTCGAGTCGAAAGGATTTAAAATAAGTATCAGTAAGACTGAATATATGCAATGCAATTTTAATAATAGAAGAAGTAGACATAGTGAAAAAATTAAGATTGAAAATCAAGAAATACCAATAAGTAAACAATTTAGATATTCTAGGATCAATCATTAAAAATAGTAGAGAGATTGGAGATGCTGTAACTCAAAGAATTAATGCTAGTTGGCTTAAGTGGAGGACAACCTCTGGCATATTAGGTCATAAAAGGATACCAATAAAATTGAAGGGTAAGTTTTACCGAACAACTATAAGGACAACAATATTATGAGACGGAATGTTGGGCAACTAGGAAACAACATAGTGACAAAATGAATAGCGGAAATGAAAATGTTAAGGTGGATGTGTGAAAAAACTAAAAAAGATAGAATACAAAACGGTCCTATTAGAGAAATCGTAGGAGTAACTCAAGCACCGGTTCAAAAAAGTGATAGAATTTCTCTTAATAATACTAGAAGTAGGGGTAGACTTAAATTAACATTGAACGAAATAATAAATAAATATATGAAAAATAATTAACTTAAATGAGTGTATAACACATGATCAAAATGAATAGCGAAGACGGACTCATATAACCGATCTCAAATGATTAGGGCATAAGACTTGATTTGGTTTGATTACAAAGATTGTTGTGATGCTATGGTTGCTGCGAGAGTGGTATGACAGTGCCTAGTTGGAGAAGAGTTCGAAGGATTCATTATATCGCTACGATATTGATAACGGGAGAAAGGTACAAACTGATGAGGTATATGGTGATGTTGCAAGAAAGTTTATTGATGATAACTTGATTTATGTTCAAGAAGAAGGTAATATGATACTATCCTCGTACTTTTGAAGGTAATATTTTCCAAAAAAATCATAGTGATGGTTTCTCCCGGGGATATTCTTTGTTTGGGGAATGGGTGTGTCAATGTCGGTGCTCATTCTGGTGATTTTCTTCTTTCAAGGGTGGGAGTGTCAATATCCATACTGGTTCTGGGTCTAATGGTGTTGCTGGGATGACATGGAATTGAGTGAGAAAATGGCGATGTTTTCTTCTGTGAAGGATGGGTGTGGGGATGGGTATAAGAAATAATTGGATTCCACAAACTGTGATGTAGCTAATTCAGGTCCATGGGGAGAATAGACATTTGCGGCGTCTGGGTGAACCTGGTTCAGGTTTATTAGGTGTTCCACTTATTACTGCCCATGATCCAATATTCAAAATTGATGATAGATGTCCCATAATTAATGTTGGTCTAATGAACTCTGATGCTGTGACCACTGAGACAATAGTGAGCCTTAAGGGTGAAAAGAATAGATGAAGGAGGTAGGGATAATATAATGAATGCTTCCTGTTGGATGAGAAAAAATGGGTTGTGTTAAAGAATTTTTTTATATAAAATGGATTTGTCTCTAGTTCCATCAAAAAAAAAAAGGGGGAAGCAAAAACATGAATGTAGAAATGAGAGGAAGAGAAAGGGAGTGGGAGAGTTAAAAAATTTAGAGTCGGGGATAGATTATTAGGGAGGTAGTTGTAAGAAAGGTGGGGAGGGATCTATAGTTTGTTATGAAGATTGTTAAGTTGGAATGCTAGAGAATTAGGGTCGAGGACGAAAAGGTTTTCAATAAAGGTGTTTTTGGGAAGAATTAAGACAGATATAGTTATTTTACAAGAAACTAAGTTGGAGGTCATTGATAAGAGAGTCATTAGTAGTGTTTGTGGTCTAGGTTCTGGAATTGGGTTTTTCTATTTTTTGTAGGAGTACACGTGGTATTGTCATCATTTGGGACGAGAGATCTATGAGCATGGAAGAAACTCGAGGGAGAATTTACTCTTTCAATTAGAGTTAAGCACAGGGAGGGATATGGTTGGTGGCTTATTGGGATTTATGGCCCTAAAAAGCCTAGCATTAGGGTCTCAATTGTGGGAAAAATTATTAGGCCTATATGGGGTGTGTGGTCATAGATGGTGTATAGGGGATTTTTAAGGTTATAAGGTATCCAAAGGAGAGGATGAATGGGGGAGAACAACAAAAAGTGTTGAAAGATTTTGATTCTTTTAATAGGGAAACCGAGCTTAGGGATGCTACTTCATGCTCCAGCTCTCCATTTCATGGAAGGACGATTTACTACGATACTTTTTGTTTTGTCGAGCCTTGCTTTAGTCTCTGGTTTGACGGTTGTATGTGCTAAAAATCTGGTACACTCTGTTTTGTTTCCTATCCCAGTCTTTTGCAACACTTCAGATATACTTCTTTTATTAGGTCCCTCCTTGGCAAATGGAGTGTTTACATGTTCTAATGGTAGTACAGTCACGGTGTGTAAACAACCAATCCATATCTTACAATCAAGAGCAAACCGTCCAGTAAAGCCCTGAATTCTGCTACCATATTAGTACAGAACCCATAATAAAAGGGGGCTACGAGCATCCCCCTTTTTCCCCCTCCCCCCCAATTCATATCTCATAATAGCACCCCCACCAGCAACGCCAGGATTACTCTTGGCAACACAACCATTTACTAACTACTGGAATACCCAACTTCTGAATCCTAGAATCTAGAGGAAGAACATCCAACAAAGTTTTCCAACCAATCAGCATAGCACTAGGGGCTGTGTTCAATCCCCAAATGGCAACAACAACCTCATTCCTTACCCCCTGCTTTCTAATCACTTGCCAAGCTAATTTAACAGTAACAACCCCAGCATTAGTCAGAGATACCAGACAAAGAAATATAAGAATTCAAAATTTCTCTTCTAAGTTGTTTAGGCAAAAATTCCTTCACCTCAACCAAACACCACTAAGAGTCTAGACACTTCAGAAATCTTAGGAAAAAAATGAGGAGATCCCTCAATTCTTTTCAACAAAGGCACATCATTCAACCAACAATCACACCAAAAATCTACAGAAACTCCATTCCCAATAATGACTTTTGATTGAAGCACAACTTTTTCAAAAAAAGGCCTTAACGATTTATAACACTTTGCACGCCCCTTACTAAGCTTCTCAAAATATGCCTCCCCTTTCAGAATTTTGTAGAAAAGATTTTAGCCCACAAAGAAGAACCCTCCATGATATTCCAGACTAGTTTAGGGTTTAGGGTTTAGGGTTTGGGGTTTGGGGTTTGGGGTTTAGGATTTAGGGGTTGGGGTTTAGGGTTTAGGGGTTTTGGGTTTTAGGGTTTAGGGTTTAGGGTTTAGGGTTTAGGGTTTAGGATTTTAGGATTTAGGGTTTAGGGAGAGACATTTATTCATTTCTAGAGAGAGAAGCTCTGACTTCTCTCTAGAATTTTTCCTTTGACTTTCTTTGATTTTAATTCAATTTCTTGATTCTTTTGTCAAATTCAACCCATTTTGATCATTATTCGACTATTTCTACATGGAATCGGATTCAATCCAGCATCCAATTCCCCCAAAACCACCGGATATTAAGAAAAATTTTGCCTCTCTTTTCAAGAAACCCTCGGACTTCGTAAACATTGGGAACATGGGGTTTTCTCATTTTGATAAAAATTCTGGAAACAACCTTTTGTCTTCAACGAATTGTGTGGGTAATCAGTCTTCTATGCCTCCAATCTTGCCTTTGGTATCCCAATCGATTCATTTTCCCCAAAATTCTCAAGATCCAGGTAATTCTCACAGATCTTCAAACCCTCAGATTTCTCGATCTTCTTCTCTTCCTCAAATTAACTTTCTTGGTCAAGATTCATCGGGGATTCAGTATCCTTTCATGATTCAGAGTTCTATGGTTCCCCAAACCTCTTTAGATTCTCACCTGTCTGTTCCTAGAGAGTCTTCAATCGCGAATGTCCCTTTGGCTGATTCTGGTAACTCATCTCTGGGAAATGGTTTGTTAACTTCGGCTGGGGTTGCTAAACCAGCAAAGAGGGTTGTTTACAACAATGGCGAATCGGGAATGTCTTGGACTTCTGAAGAAACCCTAGAGCTGTCGAAGGGTTTCTGTCAAACCCTAATTGGGAAATGCGCATATGGTAAGCCTTCACTAGGGGTCATCAGAGAGTTTATTGCTACAAAGTGGCTTCCCAAGGGTGAATTCTCAATAGGAATTTTAGATCCAAGACACATACTCATTCGTTTTAGTCTTCTGGAGGATTATGTGAAGACATGGCTGAAAGACGCTACATATATAGATGGTTTTTTGTTCAGATTTTTTAAATGATTCCCAGAATTTCTTCCAAGAATCGAACCTCCAATTGTTCCAATGTGGATATCGCTGTCTGGGCTTCCTCTTCATCTCTTCAATAGAGAGAGTCTTCGAGATATTTTGAGTCCAATTGGGAAAATATTGGTGATTGATAATTCGACTTTGCAACTGACCAAGCCAGGGGTGGCGAGGGTGTGCGTTGAAGTTAACTTGTTAGTGTCTAATCCTAGAAGATTTGGGCTTGACATGGGGGGGAACAGTGGTAGATGGCAAAGAATAGTATATGAGAAGGATTGTAGGTATTGTGCTGCTTGTTTAAAACAAGGACACGATGGAAATGCTTGTAGGAAGAAGAGAATTGAGAAAGGGGATGAGGAGAATGGAAATGTTCAGAATGTTGAGGTAAATCTGCAGAAAGAGGTTAATGTTCAGAGTGGAGTGAATCATGTGGTGGTTAATATTGCTGATAAGGGGAAATGAGTTGTACAGAATATGCAAGGAGGAAATCAGAGACAAGTTTTTAAAAGAAAGGAGGTTGTTCATAAGTCGGGGATTGGGAATAGATTTAGTGCTTTGGTTCTTGATGAACAGAGTCATGCTGTGGAAAGTGGAGAAAATTTGAATGAGCCAACTGTACGAATGGGGGAAAAAAGCTGTTCGCATGAAGCAGAATAGGAGATTCCTAATGTTTCTGGTAGAGAAAATGTGGAAATTGAAGGGGTGGATAAAATGAATAATCAGATTGCAGAATTGCATGTTGCTCTTGAAGTTGATCAGGGTTCTGAATTGCAGATGAGAATGTCAAATAAGGGGAAGATGCTGTAAATGCCTCTTTAGCTGTGAGGGGTGTGCAAGAGACTGTTTCTTGTGAGGAGATTAGAGAACCAGATTTACCAGAAAGTCAGGGGAAAGAAAGAGGGGTATCAGTTACGTTGATGGGAGAGGAGAGTAGAGATGATTGTGTTTTGTTAATTGGCAGAGAAGCTTCTTTTCATGTTACTGAGAAGTCTTCTTCTTTTATCGAAAATGAGGGAGGAAAAAGGGGGAAGATGAGAGATAAGGAGACAGGGAGGGGAATAGATGAGATTGTGTGTTGTTTAAATAAACAAGTATCTCTATCCTCAGATTCTTCTTTTTTTTTTTTGTGGATAGACAGTATGATGTTAAACACTTGATGAATGTAACTCAGGATGATAACGATGGTTTGGTAAGGGGAAATGAGCTGCTTGAAAAAAGGTTTTTTATCTGACCAAGATAGTTCGAAGACTTGGGCGGATTTATCGGAAAGATTTTCTGATGATGATGAGATCCATGGTTTGGAAGTAAGGCAGAGTCCTGAGGTTAATCCCGAACATATGTCCTCGTTATGAACTTTATAATGTAGAATGTGAGAGGGGCAGGAAATGAAAGTATGAGAACCAGATTAAAAAAGCTTGTGGTGATGAATAATGTTTGTCTTTTGGTTGTGCTAGAACCAAAAATTTTGTCAGTAAGGATGAGATCTTTTTCTGTCTCAGTGGGTTTGAGTTTCTTTGTTGCAAATACTCAAGCTGAGAAGAATATATGGTTGTTTTGGAAGGAGGGTGTGGATGTAAAGGTGATTTTGGAGCATGAGCAGGCTCTTATTGTTTCTGTTAGTTTTTTGGATTCAGATCCAATTCTTGTGACAGTTGTGTATGCGTGTTGCGATTACTTGTTAAGGAGGCCTTTATGGCAACATATACAAGTAATTTCTTCTTCCTTTCCTTTGCCTTGGTTACTAATGGGAGACTTTAACACGGTGTTGTGTTCTGCGGAGAGATTGGGGGGTGCTTATCCCTCTGTTGTTGCGATGGAGGAATTTGGTGATTGTATACACTTGGCTGGGCTGGTGGATTGTGTTTTTGAGGGAAGTAGCTACAGTTGGTGTAATAATCATCACGGGGGAACAAGAATGTGGCAGCGTTTAGATAGGGTTTTTTTAAATCCTATTTGGACTGCTAGGTTTGATAACTCTCAGGTGGTACATTTTGCGAGAGGAAGTGCAGACCATTGTCCTCTGTTGGTAAAGATCATGGAAAAAGAAGGGCAGAATAGAATTTCTTATTTTAAAATTTTGGATATGTGGACTGAGGAGGCCTCTTTTTTGCCTTTGGTTGTGGATGCGTGGCGTGGTTGTTTTTCTAGTAATCCTATTGAGGATTTCTTTTTAAAGCTAAAATTTCTTAAAGTTCGATTGAGAGGGTGGAATAAAGAAGTTTTTGGGAACATGTTTGAAAAAATTAAGTTGCAGGAGTTGGAAGTGTGTAATGCTGAAAGAACACTAGAATCTGACTATTCAGAGGACAGTTTTTTTACACTGGAGAATGCAAGAAAGAGTTTGGATGATACTTTGCGGCTAGAAGATGTTTTGGAGGCAAAAAGCAAATGTAAAGTGGGCTTTAGAAGGGGAACGGAATACAAAGCTTTATCATGCTATAACAAAAGGGAAGGCTGTCAGGAACATAATTAAAAGAATTAAAAGTGAGGATGGGGTTTGGGTTTGCTCTGAGGATGAAATTGCTGATCAAGCAGTGTCCTTCTTTGCGTCCTTATATAAATCTGAGGATCATGTCCTGGATGATGTATTGTTTGAGGTAATTCTGAATCTTGTAAGTGATACAGATAATGAATCGCTTACTTGTCTTGCTTCCATGGAAGAATTGAAGGATATGGTGTTTTCAATGTCGGTGGAAAGTGCACCAGGAGTAGATGGGTTCTCTGGGAAGTTTTTTCAGGTTGCTTGGGAGGTGATTAAGGCAAATTTGTTAAAGGCTGCAAATTTTTTTCTAGAAGGCAAAGTAGTGCCGAGGTCAGTGAATGCCACTTTATTGGCATTGATTCCAAAGAAATTAAATCCAACAAGCTTTGCAGAGTTTAGGCCTATTAGTTTATGCAACTTTTTGTATAAGATCTTTACAAAGTTGCTTGCTAATAGGCTAGCTGTTCTTTTGCCTTATTTGGTATCAGATGCTCAACATGGTTTTGTGAAAGGGCGAAGTATAGGGGAATGTATTTCACTGGCTCAGTACATGGTCTCTGAACTGGACAAAAAAGTGGAGGCAGGGAATGTAATAGTTAAGCTTGACATGATGAAGGCGTATGATCGTATTGAGTGGGATTTTCTGAAAAAGACTTTGAGGTGTTTTGGTTTTTCTGATCTCTTTGTGTCCATTATTGGAAATTGTTTGAGTAATCAATTCATATCAGTGTGTTTAAATGGTTAGAGAAAATGTTTTTTTCCCACATCACGGGGGTTGAGGCAAGGGGATCCAATATCCCCGTCGCTTTTTATTTTGGCAAAGGAGGTCTTAAGTAGGGGCCTGTCGAAGTTGTTTATTGAGAGGAAGATTAAGTCTTTTCATACTGGGAGAGGGGCTTTAATGGTCTCTCATTTGCTCTTCACTGATGATACGTTGTTGTTCTTGAAAGGAAATAAAACTTCGATGGAGATTTTGTTTTCTTTTTTGAGCAAGTATGAAGAATGTTCTGGGCAGAGGATTAGCAGACCGAAAAGTTCTATGTATTGTTCTGCAAAGATTTCTCAGGCAAGAAAAGTGATTTTATCGAGAGTTGCTCAGATTCCTATAAAAGAATGTCCTTTTATGTGCTTAGGTTGTCCTATGATTAAGGGAAGAAACATAATTAGGGATTTTGAAGACCTTTTTCTTAAATTTAAAGCTAAGCTTGAAGACTGGTATGCAAAATTGCTGTCCAATATGGGAAGAGTAGTTTTGGTGTAGACAGTCTTAAATGCAGTACCAGTGCATCTACTGTCTTGCTTAAATCTACCTAAAGGTATTTTAACTAGGATTAATTCTTTGATGGCCTCTTTTGTCTGGTCTGGTAAGGAGGGAGTTAGGAAGAGACATTTGGTTTCTTGGGAAGATATAACAAGGACAAAGCAGGAAGGGGGCTTGAGAATTAGGAAATTTGAGGATGTTCAAGCTGCTTTCTGTATGAAGCAGGTTTGGAGTATTTTGCAAGGGAAGTCTCTGTGGGCTAAGGTTTTCTCTGCAAGATTTTTGAAAAATCAACATGTGTTGAGGCATTCGGGGCAATGGAAAGCCAAGGTTTTTCGAATGTTGAAACCATGGTTTTCGTCTGTGGTTTCTCATTCTCGTTTCATTGTTGGAAATGGGGAGCTAGTGAATTTTTGGTGTTCTAATTGGCTTAACGCTGGGCCGTTGTTGGACAGACTTGGTGTTATGCCTCAAACTTTTCCACGAGTTGTAGAAGTTTATACAAAAAGAGTTTGGCAGTGGTAGAAGTTGGGTGGTCTAGTGGATGATGGTATGAAAGATGAGATCCTAAATTTGAGAATTGTTTTGTCTGATAGGACTGATTTACTGGTTTGGAAATTGAATGATTCTGGGCAATTTTTGGTCAAATTAGCTTGGCAAGTGGTAAGGCATGTTGGGAATGAAGATGTGGTGGCTAAAGCGATATGGGATCAGGCTGCTCCACCTAGTGCTAAGTTGTTTTGCTAGAAAATTAGCAAAGGTGCAGTGGCTTTGGATGTTCGATTTCAGAAGTTGGGGGTGAAATTAGTGAGTAGATGTTCGCTATGTTATAAAGCAATGTAATCCGGAGCTCATGTGTTTGTTCGCCGTGACTTTGCTGCAAAGGTATGGCAATACTTGGCTAGTTTTTTTGGGTTTATTTTGATTGAGAATGAAGGTCCTATGGGAAGATTAATGAGATTAATAAGAATTTTTAGAAAACAGTCCCTTAGTCATATCCTAGTTAGGAGTGTGGCTTTGGTTGTTTTCTGGTTATTATGGAGGGAGAGATGTAGAAGGGTTTATGGGGAGGGCTGTTTATCTGCCTTTCCTATTTTTCAGAAAACTTGTACTGTCATTAGGCTACAAGCCTTTGGTATTTGGCCTAGAGTTCTTAATAGTATAGATGGGGAGAAAATTTTGCAGGAATTGGGGGTTACAAGTCGTGGTAAAATTCAAATAAAAGCAGTGTGGGTTAATTGGTCCTGTCCAATGGAGGGGTGTTTGAAATTAAATGTGGATGGAGCCTCGAAAGGGAATCCGGGACGTGCTGGTGGTGGTGCTGTGATTCGAAACCAATGGGGTGATTTGGTGGTGGCAGGGTCTTTTTTTTATGAAAACTGTTCTAATATGGAGGCAGAACTAAGGGCATTGAAAGATGGTATATGTCTTGTTGAAAAATATGATTTGCAAGGGTACCGAATTCAAGTGGAGGTTGATTATGAAATTATGGTTTATATGGTTATGAAGGGGCACTTATGTGCTTGAAAATATTGGGAATTGCTGAGGCAAATTAAGGTGATTTTGGGGAGATTAAATTTCCATTTAACACGTGTACAGGGAAGGCAATTCGACAGCTGACTTCTTTGCAAACTGGGCAGTGCAATGTGGATGTTCTTTGGAGTTCTCTGCTGCCTTGGATATTCCTCATCCTGCTAAGAGATTGTTGCTGCTTGATAAGCAAATGCATAAATTTTTCAGAAAGAAAATTGTATTTTCTTGATTCTCATTGTATAGGTTAGCAAAAGCAAATTGTAAAGGCAGGAATGTCTATTTTTTTCTTTGATTGTAAAATTTTGGTTATGGAATAAAAGTGTTGATTTGTTTTAAAAAAAGAAAAAAAAGAAAAAAAAAAGGGTTTAGGGTTTAGGGTTTAGCAGGGAAGAGAGACAAACCAGAATGGAACCCAATTGTGTGTGATGTGTGTTGCTACGACGTTATAGCAATGTTGCTCCCAACTATTCGTTGAGGGTAAGGTCCGATACATTAATGCACATGATGAATTTAAGGGTAATGGTTGCATGGGGTAGGCTATGTTTGATATGTTGCCCACCCCCCGAGAAAGGGGGAGGCAGTAGGTTGGCGTAGCTTGGCTGAGGGGGGTGGACTGTTGTGTATGCAACTAGAGCTGGTGGGGGCTTAGAGCAATATTGATTGTGTTATGAAAAATCTTGAGAAGTTTTGTTATAGCATTAGAAAAGCCAAAAAGCAAAATCCCCTCCTTTTTATTTTTATAGAAAACACCATCTTATTAAAAGTAAAAAAATGAAGAGCAGAGATGTGTAAGTAGTCCATCCCAAATACAAACCATTGAAAGCAGTACATAAAAAGGGAAAAAAACCAAACCAAGAAAACAAACTAATCAATCACAAGCCGCCTTCCAGTTTGCCAAGATTTCAAAAAATGGAATATTAGCAAATTTTTCAAAGCACAAAAATAGTTGCTAAAAAGTGAATTCGGTTCCAAAGCCCATCAAACTATTCATACTTATCTTCAAAGATTCTTGAAATTTTCTCCAACCAAATCCCCAAATTATTGCAAAGAAAGCACATCCCCAAAGAGTACTTCATTTACTTCCCTTTCGAAAACCTTTATAATCCACATCCAACATTGTTGAAATTGTGAGAATCAAGAAAGAAAGACGATGGAGATTACGATTGATCATAAGCATTTTAAAGTCAGATCTGAAGGTTTGCATGGTGAACTGGTTCGCATAAAGGAATGGAATCAGTTTGGATATTTCTCATGCTTAGTGAATAGAAGTTGTTTGAGATGGTTGAAGGAGATGTTTTCTGAAGCTTTATCCTGGAATCGACGAGATATTTTCTTTAGAAAGTTTAGGAGGGATGGATATTGTATGTGGATGCAACTGGAAAATAGCAGGTTTGGGGAGTTTGCCAGGATTACACAGATGATGAATAATGGTAGAAGAAAGGGTTTGATTATTCCCCAAGGCTCCCAAGGCATTGGATGGAAAGGGTTTAGAGGATTGATGGAGGATGTTCTTTCGGGTGGAAGGAATACAAGGATACATGAAAAAGAAAATCAAAGTCTGATGGTAGTATCAAAATCTAGAGTTAGGGAGCAAGGAAATGGGGGATGGGTTGAGATGCATAAGGAAAATACTCCTGCAAATAATAAGGGGGATGCAAATGCTTAAAGAAGAGGTTAAACTGAGGTGTGTTGTGGTATGTGTCCAAGCAAGTTCGATTGTCTCTTGGGATGTACTCTAGGCATGCTTGGTACAGGCTTTAAAAATGAAGATTGATCTACAGCTTTTCCAAGTAGACAAAGCCATTTTTTTTTCTACGAAGACAGATTACAAGTTGTGAGAATTTATGTAGAGTGGAAAATTTGGCATTGAAGTGTGTGGTGACGTACAGTTTCAACATTAGTGTCATGAATCCAATACAGATAGAAGTCGTGTACCCTTTTGGGTGGATGGATAGCAGTTGAAGGTCTACCATTTCATCTATGGAAACCTGAAGTCTTAAGAAGATCAGGGATTGTTGTGGGGCTTTCATTGAAGTTGATCGGCAAACAGAAAATCTCAAAAATTTGTTTGAAGCTCTAATTAGAGTTCATAAAACCAGTAATGGTCTTCTAAAAACGTTCTTCAGTGTGGATATTAATGGGAAATTTTTTCTAAGGTTAAGGTGTTGAAGAACACAGGATTGTTCAATCGAAACGAAAAAGGAATACTACAAGGTGAAGGTAGCAAGGAGATTTTGTGTATTGGGCAAAAGGTCAAAGACGAGAGTTGTAGCATATTGGAAAATCAATCGGCCAAAAAAAAGTTGCAAACAAAAGTGGGATTACGTGTCAACAAGAGAAAGGAGGAGGAGGAGGAGGAGGAGTCTGTGCACCACAAGGCCAGAATAAATGCAAAGATTTGGTTTGATTGAAAAAAATTCTAATGACTTGATTAGTGCCATTAATCTTGCTGATTTCTAACAGAAAATATTTGATAAGGATAATTCAAATAAGGAATGTAATTTGAATTCAAAATTTGAGTTAATTAAGGATAAGGTAGAGGAGAAGGATCATGAAAGGTGGGTTTTGTTAAGAAAGGAAGGTGTGGGCTGAGATAAAAGAAACAAATGGGCTGGAAACAAATGTTTTTACCAATGGGCTTGGTAAGGTGGGCCATTTTAATTTAAGAGGGTTTTATAGAATTGTGGAGGCCTGGTCCACAAACCTTTGTTTGTTGGGCAGAGCTCGAATGATAGGGCTCTCTCACACGGGCAAATGGCTATCTTCATAGATGAAACAAAGGCTCTCCTCAAAGTTGAAAACTAATGGTTAAGGTTGCTGAAGCTGATCGTCGAGCAAGGGGGGGGGGGGGAGTGGAGCCTCTCATGACAATGGGCAAAGGAAGTAGTGAAAAAGGGACTATAGCTGTAGAGGAGATTTGCGATGGTTGGCAGAGTCAGAGGGAAGATTTTGAGGTCTGTTTCAACAGTATGGATGGGGAGAGGACATAAATTTGTTTTCAGGAGATGAGGAAGATTGCTGCGAGAAATTCCAAAGATATAAATTAGCTAACAAGGAGGTAAAAAAGATAGTTAAAGATGCTAAGTTAAAAGCCTACGACGAGTTGTACAAAAAACTAGACAGTAAAAAGGGAGAAAAAGACATTTATAAACTAGATAAAATTAGAGAAAGGAAAACAAGAGACTTTAACCAAGCTAAGTGCATCAAGGGCGAGGACTCAAAGGCTTTAAAAAAAATGAAGAAATAAATGATCGGTGGAAAGACTATTTTGAGAAAGTATTAATAAAAATCACTTAAGAAACTTAGAAGAGATAGAAAATTGAAGGATTCATGAAATGTTCTTTCATAAGAAACTTAGGGTTTAGGAGTTAGGATTTTAGGGTTAGGGTTTAAGGTTTAGGGTTTAGGAGAGAGAGGTAGTTATTTCATTCTAGAGAGAGAAGGTCTGACTTCTCTCTAAAAACTGTTCACAATTTTCTCAGAGCTTCCTTGTTTCTGGCTGATTTTTTCATTATTCTTTGTAATATCTTTGAATTCTTACTGTCTTTGATTGTTTACTATGAATCTTGGCCAACAAACTCGTCAAATTCCCCCAAAATCGCCTAACATTATAAGAAATTTTGCCTGGTTGTTCAAGAAACCTTCAAATGTGGAAAATTCTATAATGATTCCTGTTGCTTCAGAGATTAATTCCTTGACAATTGTTGATCCTTTGGGATGTAATAACACCATTTCTATGCCTCTGATTTCTCAATTGAATCAAAACAAGCCGACAGTTCAAGTTCTTCCTTCGGTTGTGTCATCTTCTTCGTATAATCAACTTTCATCCTCTGAGTTAGGTATTCAGGTTCCTTTCGATTCTTCAATTGTTCGAAACACTTAGGGAGTTAACCTAAAATCTAATTCTTTAAACTCCCAAATCCATTTTGAAGTCTCAAGATCCTTCGATGGATCGAACTATCCCAAATGTTCAGATCTCTGTTCCCAATAAAGAAATTGAAATTTCAGCTGGAATTTTGAATATCCAGAATCCTTCTGGTATTCAAGTTCCTTCTTCTACAATTCTATTTGGTTCTTTGAATTCTGTAAATCCTCCTAAGCCTGCTAAGAGAGTAGTTTTTAATAAAGGAGAACCTGGGATGTATTGGCCTCCTGTTGAGACTATGGAGCTTTCAAAAGGTTTTAATCAGACACTTATTGGTAAATGTGCCTATGGCAAACCTTCACTGGGTGTGGTGAAAGAATTTATCAATTCTAGGTGGTTATTGAAAGGGAATTTTTTGTAGGAGTGTTAGACCCAAGGCATGTTCTGATCAGATTTTCTCTTTATGAAGATTATGTAAAAGTGTGGCTGAAGGATACCACCTACATTGAGGGCTACCTTTTCAGGTTTTTCAAGTGGTTCCTAGAGTTTTATCCTGGGATTGAACCTTTTGTTGTACCTATATGGGTGTCCTTGCCTGGTCTTCCAATTCACTTATTTAATAGAGAAAGTCTGAAAGATATTTTGAGTCCAATTGGTAGGATTTTGGTGATAGACAATGCTACACTGAATATTTCTAGAACTGGTGTGGCCAGGGCCTGTGTTGAAATGAATCTTCTAGCCAATAATCCTAAGAGATTTTGGCTAGATATGGGGGAGTGTGTGGTAGAGAACAGAGAATAGGGTTTAGGGTTTAGGGTTTTAGGGTTTAGGGTTTAGGGTTTAGGGTTTAGGGTTTAGGGTTTAGGGTTTAGGGTTTAGGGGTTTAGGGTTTAGGGTTTAGGGTTTAGGGTTTAGGGGTTTAGGGTTTAGGGTTTAGGGGTTTAGGGTTTAGGGTTTAGGTTTAGGGTTTTAGGGTTTAGGGTTTAGGGTTTAGGGTTTAGGGTTTAGGGTTTAGGTTTAGGGTTTAGGGTTTAGGGTTTAGGGTTTAGGGTTTAGGGTTTAGGGTTTTAGGGTTTTAGGGTTTAGGTTTTAGGGTTTAGGGTTTTAGGGTTTAGGGTTTAGGGTTTAGGGTTTTAGGGTTTAGGGTTTTAGGGTTTAGGGTTTTAGGGTTTAGGGTTTAGGGTTTTAGGGTTTAGGGTTTAGGGTTTAGGTTTAGGGTTTTAGGGTTTAGGGTTTAGGGTTTAGGGTTTATGGTTTAGGGTTTATGGTTTAGGGTTTAGGGTTTAGGGTTTAGGGTTTAGGGTTTAGGGTTTAGGGTTTAGGGTTTAGGGGTTTAGGGGTTAGGGTTTAGGGTTTAGGGTTTAGGGTTTAGGGTTTAGGGTTTAGGTTTAGGGTTTAGGGTTTAGGGTTTAGGGTTTAGGGTTTAGGGTTTAGGGTTTAGGGTTTTAGGGTTTAGGGTTTAGGGTTTAGGGTTTAGGAGGGTTTAGGGAGGCAGTTATTTCATTCTAGAGAGAGAAGGTCTGACTTCTCTCTAGAAACTTTATTTCTTTTTCCAGATCTTCTTGTTTCCATCTGATCCTTCATCTATTTGTTGTGAAATCTTTGATTCCTTCACTATTAGGTTTAGGGTTTAGGGTTTAGGGTTTTAGGGTTTAGGGTTTAGGTTTTAGGGTTTAGGGTTTTAGGGTTTAGGGTTTAGGGTTTAGGTTTTGGGTTTAGGTTTTAGGGTTTAGGGTTTAGGGTTTAGGGTTTAGGGTTTAGGGTTTAGGGTTAGGGTTTAGGGTTTAGGGTTTAGGGTTTAGGGTTTATGGTTTAGGGTTTATGTTTAGGGTTTAGGGTTTAGGGTTTAGGGTTTAGGGTTTAGGTTTAGGGTTTAGGGTTTAGGGTTTAGGGTTTAGGGTTTAGGGTTTAGGGTTTAGGGTTTAGGGTTTAGGGTTTAGGGTTTAGGGTTTAGGGTTTAGGGTTTAGGGTTTAGGGTTTAGGGTTTAGGGTTTAGGTTTAGGGTTTAGGGTTTAGGGTTTAGGGTTTAGGGTTTAGGGTTTAGGGTTAGGGAGGCAGTTATTTCATTCTAGAGAGAGAAGGTCTGACTTCTCTCTAGAAACTTTATTTCTTTTCCCAGATCTTCTTGTTTTCCATCTGATCCTTCACTATTTGTTGTGAAATCTTTGATTCCTACTGTTGTATTGATTGATTTAGCATGGTTTTAGCCCAAGAACACAATCAAATTCCACCAAAACCTCCAGACATTACCAAAAACTTTGCCTCCTTGTTCAAGAAATCTGCTCCGGCTGAAAATGTTCCAACAATCCCTATCACTTCAGAATTTAATTCCTTAACAATTGTAGATCCTTTGGGAGGGAATAACACCATCTCTATGCCTCTTATATCTCAAGTGAATCAAACCAAGCCGACTGTTCGTCTGGCCTCTGTTCTTCCTGCGAATGTATCGACTGTTGTAAATGATCAGAGTTCTTCATCTGGGTTAGGCTATCATGTTCCTATTGAATCTGTTATTGATCGAAACACACAGAGAGTGCTTATGAATCCTCCACCTTCTCTAATCCCCCAATCCATTCCTTTGGAAATTCCTGAATCCTCGATGGATCGAAATCTGAACAAATCGCAAATCCCTGCTTCTGATAAAGATACTCAGATTCCAATAGTCATTTCGAATTCTCAAAATCCTTCAGGTAGTCAAAATCCTGCGTCTAATATTGTTTTTGGTTCCTTAAATCTGGTGAATCCTCCTAAAACTGCAAAGAGGGTAGTCTTTAACAAAGGAGAGCCTGGGATGTATTGGTCCCCCAATGAAACCTTAGAACTTTCGAAAGGTTTTTGTCAAACTCTTATTGGCAAATGTGCCTATGGTAAACCTTCTCTGGGTGTGGTGAAAGAATTTATCAAGTCTAGATGGCTTCTGAAAGGGGATTTTTCTGTAGGTGTGTTAGATCAGAGGCATGTACTGATCAGATTTTCTCTCTATGAGGACTATGTTAAAGTGTGGCTGAAGGATACAACATACATTGAGGGTTATCTTTTCAGGTTTTTTAAATGGTTTCCAGAGTTTTATTCTGGGATTGAGCCACCTATTGTACCTGTATGGGTATCCTTACCTGGGCTTCCAATCCATTTATTCAACAGAGAAAGTCTGAGAGATATTTTAAGTCCAATAGGCAGGATTCTGGTGATAGATAATGCTACCTTAGCCTTTCTAGACCTGGGGTAGCCAGGGCCTGTGTTGAGATGAATCTTCTTATCAACAATCCTAAGAGATTCTGGTTAGATATGGGAGGTGTTAGTGGCAGATGGCAAAAGATAGTGTATGAAAAAGAGTACAGGTATTGTCCTGCTTGTCTTAAGCAGGGGCATGATGAAGTGCAGTGTAGAAGGAAGAAGAAAGTGGAAGATGATATTTCTGATAAGAAGCAGGAGGCAGGGAATAATATTCCTCAGGATGAGGAGTGGAAGAAGAAAAAAGGTAAAGCTATGGCTACAGATGGTCTGAGAGGACAGGCTAGAAAGGAATATAGACAGAAATCTAATCCTCAAACTACTGCTGTGGGGAATAGTTTTTCTGTTTTAAATGAGAATACTGTTACAGAAGAGCAAGATATTGGGAAGGAAATGAATGTAAATGAACAGGAAATAATACCAGACAAGGTCCCTAATAATGAAGGATCTCCTTCTATTCAGGAGATTGGTATTGGAAATGTTGCAATACAGGGGGAGGATGTTAGAAAGGATACTGCCATTCTGGAGAACCCTCAGGCAAGTCTTTGAATGTGATACTCAAGGAGTTGGCAATACTAATAATGCTGATATCAGATTGGAGGGAATACAGCAAGAGAATAATCCAGGAGTAACTATTGCTTCTGATTCTAGAAATCAAATTCCCATAAATACAGTCACTATGGAGGCTACATTGGAGGTAAATTCTTGTTCCTCCCCTATTCCATTAAATCCTATTAATGAGGAGATCAATGTTGGAGTTCCTGTATTTGAGGTTGGTAATAATGACAATATGGTGGTTCATGAAAATATAGAGATTTTGGGAGAATGTAGGAATTTTTATGCTCCATCAATGGATTCATCCTTCCTTTTGGAACATGGATTTGTTGTTAGAAAAGGAAGCCAAAATTCTGTAGATGATCAATCTGGTTTGGTTAGAATGAAAGAACCTCCAGATAAGGGTTATTTTTCAGATCAGGCTAGCTCTAGACCTCAGAGAATTGTAAATGTTGAATCTGATATTTCTGGGAGTTCTGTTGAAGAAGAGGATGAGGGTAATGGACTTAGTTCCAGTAAAGTTCCATCTTCTATGAATTTATGATTAATCTCCTATCATGGAATATGAGAGGGGCAGGTAAGGAGGCCAAGAGGAGGAGATTAAAGAAGCTTATTAAATTGCATGATGTTTGTTTGGTTGCAGTTCAAGAGCCTAAATTACTGATCTCTAAATTGGTTCCTTTTGCTAGGAGTATTGGTTTAGAGCACTTCTGTTCTAATGCCCTTGCAGAAAGGAAAATTTGGATTTTATGGGATGAGAGAATCAAGTTGAGAATCTTATTTGAGCATGATCAAGTATTGACTGTGGAAATAACTTTTCTGAATTCAACTATTTTTTGGATCTCAATTGTATATGCTAGTTGTGATCCTTTTGTAAGAAGGCTATTATGGGATCATTTGTTGGGAATTGATGTTCCCTCTGATGTCCCTTGGATGGTGATTTCAATTCAATCCTCTCTTCTGATGAAAGATTGGGGGGAGCCCCTCCTTCTCTGCAGTCTATAGAGGATTTTGGTGATTTTGTAAATCATAGGGGTTTGCTGGATGCTGGTTTTGTGGGCAATAAATTTACCTGGTGTGATAACAGGAATGGGGGTATCAGAATGAAGCAGAGGTTGGACAGAGCTCTGATTAATGCTTGCTGGAATTTGAATTTTGATAGTATGGAAGTGGCTCATTTAGCAAGGGGCTCCTCTGATCATAGCCCTTTATTGATGAAAATCATGGATGCTCCTGTACAGAAAAGACTCTCTTATTTTAGATTTCAAGACATGTGGTGTGATCATGAGGGATTTTTTGATCTGATTAAAGCAAATTGGGGAGGACACTATTCAGATAATCCAATGTCAAATTTGTTCATCAAGATGAAATATTTGAAGGCTCATATGAAGATGTGGAATAAAAATGTGTTTGGAAATCTCTTTGACAAATTGAGAAACCTGGAGCAAAAAATAAGTTTGTTGGAACAGGAGGTAGATCAGAGGTTTTCTGATTCACAAGACATAGAGTTAAAAGCTGCTAAGAATGAGATGGATGATTGGCTAAGAAGAGAAGAAACTTATTGGAAGCAAAAGTCAAATATAAAATGGGCTGTACAGGGGGAAAGGAATACCAGATTTTACCATTCTATTGCTAAAAGTAGAATGGTTAGGAATAAAGTCTCAAGAATTAAGAATAAAGAAGGGGTATGGGTATGTGGGAATAAGCAAGTGGCTGAGGTAGCTGAGGATTTTATGTTGATCTTTACAAGTCTGAAAGGCATATCATCAATGAACAAATTTTGTTGATGTTATTCCTAAGCTCATCAGTCAAGAGGATAATGAGAGGCTCACAGCTGAAGCCACTTTGGAGGAATTGAAAGATGTGGTCTTCTCATGGCAGTTGAAAGTGCCCCTGGGCCTGATGGTATGTCTGGTATGTTTTTTTAGATTTGCCTGGGACATTATTAAAACAGATGTGGGCAGAGCTGTTAACTTTTTGCTAGCAGGAGGTACAATGCCTAAATCTGTGAATTCCACTTTGTTAGTATTGATTCCTAAGAAGGAAAATCCATGTTCATTTGCTGATTTCAGACCTATAAGCTTATGTAATTTCTTATATAAGATCTTTACAAAGCTTCTGAATACTAGACTTTCTTCCCTTCTTCCTGCTTTAATTTCTGAAGAACAACATGGCTTTGTACAAGGCAGAGGTATTGGAGATTGTGTGGCCTTGGGACAGTTGCTTGTTGGAGAATTAGACAGAAAGGTGGATGGTGGGAATATGGTTATGAAACTGGATATGATGAAAGCATATGACAGGATGGAATGGGATTTTTTGTTGAGGGTACTGGCTGGCTTTGGCTTTTCTGATTTGTTTAATCAAAATTATTTTGAATTGTTTGAGTAGCCAATTCTTTACCATTTGTTTAAATGGCCAAAGATATGGTTATTTTGCTAATTCAAGGGGGTTAAGACAGGGAGATCCTCTCTCACCTTCCTTATTCATCCTGGCTGAGGAAGTGCTGAGTAGAGGGTTAAGAAGAATTTATCACCAGAATTTGGTGAAACATTTCCATATTGGGAGAGGAACAACAATTGTTAGCCATTTGCTATTTGCTGATGATACTCTGATTTTTCTAAGAGGTAATAAATCCTCTGTAGTGAATGTTTTGCAATTTATTGAGTTGTATGAATCATGCTCTGGACAGAAGGTTACAAGATGAAAAGTGCTGTCTACTGCTCCAAGCTGATCTCTCTAGCTAGAAGAAATAGGCTGGCTGCTGTGATGGGGATTCCTTTGAAGAATTGTCCTTTTACCTATTTGGGATGTCTCTTATCAGAGGTAGAGTTAAGAAATGCTACTTTGAAGAGGTGGTGAACAGCTTTAGAAGAAGACTTGAGGGTTGGTATGCCAGACTTCTCTCTGGAATGGGAAGAGTGGTATTGGTGCAGTCAGTACTTTAGCTCAATTCCCATTCATATTTTGGCTTGTTTGAATATTCCAAAAGGTATTTTAAGTAAGCTGAACTCTCTTATTGCTGATTTTATTTGGTCTAATCAAATTGGATCCAGGAGGAGACATTGGGTGTCACTTAATGATATTTCTAAGCCCAGAATAGAAGGTGGCTTGGGAATTAGAAGTTTTGATGAAGTCCAGATGGCATTCAGAGTGAAACAAGTATGGGGCATTCTAAAGGGTTCTTCTTTGTGGGCCAAAGTCTTTCAAGAGAAGTTTTTTCAAGGCAAGCATATGCTAAGATGTAGCAGCAGTGGTGCAGGTTTATCATTTAATGTCTTGAAGCCTTGGTTCAATTTCACAGTACAGAATTCTTTCAAAATAGTTAGAAATGGTCATAACACTGATTTTTGGTGTGATTCATGGTTGGAAACTGGCCCTTGATTCTTAGAATGGAGAATCTTCCATTGATCTTTCCCAAGATAAAAGAATTATGGAATGGGGTAACATGGCAGCTAAATGAGGTTGCTGAATGGCTTAATCCTCAATTATGTTCTGAAATTGAAAAGGTGGTTTTTGTGAGATCTGAGGAATCTGATAAGCTTATTTGGAAGCATACTACTTCAGGTGAATTTACTGTAAAATCTGCATGGAATCAGCTCAGGAAAGTGGGGAACCAAACTGCTATTGCTAAAGGCATATGGAAACAGAAAATTTTTCCTAGTGCTCAACTTTGCACTTGGAAAATTTTCAGGAAAGCTTTGACTTCTGATGATAGTTCAAGATGTGGGAGTTGCAATGGCTAGTAGATGTGTCATGTGTGGTGTGGATGGGGAAAGTGCAGCTCATGTATTTATTGATTGCTCTTAGCTCAAGCTGTCTGGAGGAAAATTGCTGCAATTATGGAATTTGATATATTTTCAGGAGAGGCTCCTTTATGCAGATTCTTGAGATTGTTGAGAAGGTTTAAAGCTGCTTCTCTCAGTCATAATCTAATCAGAGGGGTATCTATGCTAATTTTTTTGGG